GAGACCCGGTTTTGGTAATATTCCTTGTTTAATTGGCCACGACCTTCTCATCGATGATAAAAGTGATAAATTTCGGAAAGTCAAGTTTTTGAACTTTCGACCGTTTTTTTTAAAACTTTTTGATTTTCATAGAAACTATATTATCAAATTTGACATGAATGGTTCAATCGTAAAAACTGGTTGCGAGAAATTTCCCACCGAAGCAGCGCATCCTTATTTTTTTGTAAGTAAAATTTTATGTATTTGGGAAGATAATAATGTCTTAAAAACTTTCACTCTTCTCACTTATTTTAGTAGAGAACCAAGCAAGGTTTCGGGCAAATAAGTAAAGTCCAATTTTTGAAACTATCCATTTCATCCGGAATAGGTAAAACAATTACCAAAATTTTCAAAAAGCTCTTTTCAAGTTTTACTAGGCCCCCTAGTTTTCTTTTATTGAGTATTTGAACATTCATTAATTCTTTTTTTTTTCGGTTTATTATCTTTTTCTTATGTATCTGTTGTTTGGTAGGTGTTGCAAAGCTAAGCTTTGCCTCTTTGTTAAAGTTTCAATTTCTTTTAAAAATTTAATTAGCAAGTAAACTAGCAATATGCAATTATAAACCAACAATTATGTCATAAAAAAAGAGACAGAAAGGCCAGCATATTTTTGAAAAGTACTCTCGATAGCACTTAAGTTAACTTAAAGCTATTATTCACAGCGCGGGACAAACTTGTTAGATACAAAAATTGGTGAAATTTGATTTAATGCATGTCAGCCGTTTGATACAGTGCATTTAATGCATGTCAGCCATAGTTTTTTTTTGAAGAAAAATGATGCAAAATGTATTATTGTCGATTTACTTTGCTGTGAGCTCAAACATTATTAAGAATTCGTTCTCAGAAAAAAATCACAACTTTTAATGCTATTTTTTTTCCAGTGTCCAGTGTAGGGCGTGTCGGTTGTAATTTAGTTGAAATGATTTCTTCTTCTGATGTTGAACTCAGTTTTTTTGTACTTTGATTGGTATGAATTGTTCCGGTTGTCAGACATAGTCAGACAAACAAAAACTGTTGATAAAAATATCAAACCGTTGATGAGAGGGTAACTTGATTAATTCTGCTATAGTGTAGCAGTTATTGTTCCGACTTTCGATACAAAAGTAACGAAATATTTTTGCTCGGGGTTTTTTTTTTTCTTCAGACAATTTTTCTTCAGACAATTATTGACGGAATTTTTAAATATCATTCGAAAGGTATTGTTGTCTTGAGCTCAGACTTGAAAAGATATTTCACCTGTGATCATTTTTCTGAAAGTTATGGGGGTTTAAAGGTTGCCATTTTGGCCAGTTTGGGACAATTAACGCGCGATATAATTCGCGATATTAACGCGTAATTGTAGAGTTAATCCGTCTTAGAAATCGTTCCAAATTGGTTTAACGAAGCTTATTTGCCTTAGTTGATTTGTTACAAGTAGCGAAATCTATCTTTTTGTAATTTATATGGCGTGTGGGGGGGGATGATTTTTATTGAAAATTTTCAAATTTTAGAAAAAAAAGTTTCATTTTGTTTTATTACTTTTAATTTTCTAATGTTCTTACTGCTCCATAAATCTAATAGGCAGTCGGAACATTCAGGGATTTGCCCTGATACGAGCAGTCTTGTTATATATCAATCCTGCAACTCCTTTTCCTCATATAATCGTTCGATATTTAAAAAAATATATATGCATGAATTTTTCCTTGGAGTCGGAAATCTCTGTGCTACTTGAGCAGTAAATGACTCATTACCTGTGAGTTTTTTGAATTCTTTTGGTCAACTGAGCAATGTTAAATCAGATACAAAGCGACTCGCATGAGAATGAATACTCTAGTTTTGCGACTTTCCTTTGAAATGTCTAGGAATATTTTTTTCTACTAGATTTGAAGTTTTTCAAAAATCAATAAACACAAATTTGAAACAATTTTTCGGCTTTGTTGAATTTTTACCTCAGTGTAAGTGTCAATGTGACTAATTTTACGCTCACTTCCGCCTTTTTTAATTCAACTATCTTTCCACAATTTAGTTTCGAATGCCTTTTTAGAAATCACCGCGTATGATATAATCCTTAATAAAAAACTGGAAAACAATCACCCATCAGTTATTTTAAATCAGCAGTTTTTAAATTTTTATAATATAAAGAAAATGTTTTTTTTTCTATTCCGAGTGTTGCCATCAATATGTATCAAACGAGAGTTGAAACAATTACTTTCTCTGCAACATATCGAATTTTCTAGTTAAATAAATTTTTTGTTCACAATTTTTGGGTGAACACAGAATTATATATTGCTCATTTGTTTTTTAAGCTACATATCTATTTTAAATTTGAGCACTCGCTTTTTTTTCTAACTGTCGTTTTTACTATTCATAACTGCTTTTTTTATTAGTCTAGAACAGCTATTTCTGCAATTCTGATTGTGAATGCAAAAGAGTTGATATTTTGTAGAGCTTTGATAATTCCAAAATTTTTTGCGTAAAGAAGTCATCAAACATTTTTGGTCAATTCCGTCATGAAAAAGTTTAAATTAATAGATTTATTGCATCAAAATTAGTCATATTATAGTTTATCTAAATCAGGGCTCAGATTTTAAACGAATTTTTAATCTATATATATATTTTTTCTATGTCACCATAAAGCTTCGATGGCTCGATATGATCATCATCGAGAAGCATTCAAATTTTTATATTATTTGACTGAAATTGATATGGAATTTTGATTATTGTTTAGTTTTTTGATACGAAATTAACGGAATATTTGTGTTCGGGGTAGGTTTTTTTCTTCCGACAAATTTCGACTTTTAACTTGCCATTTTTAACGGAATTTTTTTTATATCATTCAAAAGGTATTGTTTTCCTGAGCTTAAATGTGAAAAGATATTTCACCTGTGATCATTTTTTGTAAAGTTATGGGGTTTAAAGATTGCCATTTTGGCCAATTTGGGACAATTAACGCGCGATATATTTCGCTCGCGCTATTAACGCGTAAGCGAAGATTTAATCCGTCTTAAAATCGTTCCAAATTGTTGAAAGAAGCTTATTTGCCATAATAGATTTGTTACAAAGAGAGAAATCTACTCTTTTGTCCTTTATATGGGGAGTGGGGGATGTTTTCATAAAAAATTTCAAATTTTAGAATTTGTTTTTCATTTTTATTGTTCCGACTTTCGATACGAAAGTAACGGAATATTTGTGCTCGGGGTGGGTTTTTTTTCTTCAGACAAATTTCGACTTTTTAACTAGCCATTTTTGGCGGAATTTTTTTATATCATTCAAAAGGTATTGTTGTCCTGAGCTTAAATTTGAAAAGATATTTCACCTGTGATCATTTTTCGTAAAATTATGAGGGTTTAAAGATTACAGTTTTGGCTAATTTGGGACAATTAACGCGCGATATATTTCGCGCTATTAACGCGTAAGCGGAGATTTAATCCGGCCTAAAAATCGTTCCAAACTGGTTGAAAGAAGCTTATTTGCCATAATTGATTTGTTACAAGGAGTGAAATCTATTCTTTTGTAGTTTATATGGCGTGTGCGGGGATGATTTTCATGGAAAAAGTTTCAAATTTTGGATTTTTTTTTCATATTTTACGTTTAATTTGTTAAGGATATTTATGTTATTACTGCTCCATAAACCTTAAAAGGCAGTCGGAACATTCAGGGCTTCGCCCTGATACGAGCAGTCTTGTTTTTTTTACATTTAATTTTCTTGTTACTACTGCTCCATAAACCTTAAAAGGCAGTCGGAACATTCAGGGCTTTGCCCTGATACGAGCAGTCTTGTTATTTTTTCTTAATGTTTGTTCTTTACTGAGTTGTTGTTATGTCTAAAATAGATTTTGCGGACAAATAGTATTCGATGTAGATTAAGGTTATCCCTAAAATAGTACTTTTTTGTCATTTAATGTCTATTGTATATATTTTTGGTATGCGTTTTGGGGTCCTTTGATCAGGTATGAATTGAATGGTTTTTTCAAATTCAACCAAATTTAATTCAAAAACCATTTCCCATTTCTCATTTACCTGTCTGCTAAAAATGCTTAATTAACTTCTAAAATTAAACAAGAAAATTTATCAAAAAGAGCACGAAGACGACATTATAATTAGCATCTATTTCAGAACTTAAATGAAAGCACTCAAACCATTTGGCCATCGTTATTTATAGGTGCAAGATAATTTTTAAAAAGACAAAACATTACTAAAATCTATTTGAAAGCGCTGTAAAAGTTATGAGAGTTTAAAATCTTTAAATTAAGCGATTTGTTGCAGAAAATTATGGAAAGTATACCAATGTCAATTCAACTTGCTTTGAGCTCGAGAAGCTTTAAAAATTCGGTTTCAGCCTTAAATCAGGAGTATTACTATCTTGAAATTTTGTCCCAGCTCAGCGCTACAAAATCAAGCCCTCAGTTTTGTTCCAGTTTCTTTTTTAAGAAAGTCACCAAAAAAGATGTTTGCAGTGACTTGTAGCGTAGAAACTTTGAATGATGGATAGGATATTGAACGTGAAAAGTGCGAGTAATCATACATTGGAGTGGCATATATTGAAATGTAATGAAAAGAGGACTTTCAAACTATTGCTCTGGATGTTAATAACGGTGCTCGAGGTGGCAGGTATCTGGCAGCTGGTTGAGATGAGAGAGTTTTGCTTCTTTGCTGGATTGTTTGAATGTATTCGAATCCCTGCTACCCAAAACAATCAAACAAACAAACGGGGTTGCGCTATTTACTCAATCAAATTAGTGACTTTCTACTTTTTGTGATAATTTGGTCATAATATTAATGACAACTCTTTATTCATTCCATCCGCACCCTATGGTGTGCATAGCAACGAATATCCACTCACTGTGAAGGACTTATTCAATAAAAGGCTAGCCATATGCGACTTTAGCCTCAAATTTATCGCATTTTGCAATTGAAGGAGTCGGGAGGGGGGGGGGGGGGGGGAAGGAGATCTTATAAATGATGTCCTTCTTATGTTATAGACCAGATGAAGAACCTGACTGGGGGCGGGGGCGATGAGCCGAAGGAGGCGGCGGGAGGGGGTGAGGTGGATCCGGAGGTGGAGGAGGAGCGACAGAGGATAGAGGAGGAGAGACGACTCAAACACGAGAGATTCGAGGCCGAGAGGTGCAAAATGCGACAGGATATTAGAGACAAGGTCAGTTCTTGTTATATTATAACTAATTAACTCTGTCTAGAGCGTGGATGAAGCTATGGAAAAAACAACACGAATCGATGAATGTTGCCTAACGATTAATGTTGCCTAATCAATGACGTGTTGCTTGTAGATCCCATATTGCGAAAACTTAAGAAAACTGTCGAGAGATTATAGCGTGTTTTTGTTCCGACTATCCGTAGGCGGACGTTTCTGTCACGCTATTTTAGAGAATCGAAGGTTAACTCGTGAAGCATCGAAATTGGCGTCATGTTAATGTCTCTTCAGTCTGTTATCACACACCGGAATGCTTTTGAAAGTTAATTGGTGTCACGTAAAATTTTATTCTTTGTACAAAATGAACTCCTGGATTTCTTTTTTAAAATTGCTCTAAGGTCGTGGCATAATCGAGATGTCGATACAAACGTTTTGCGCAACTATATTTTAATAAGATTTAACTTAGATCTTGTGACATATGGATGCACACAAAAAATTAAGCATCATCCACCAAACAAGAGTGAATCTATCGGTAGCAAAGTTTTTTATAGACATTTTAAACATGAAATCGATTTCTTGCAGTAGGAGGAAGCTTAAAAAAGGCAGCGGCAAGTGATTTAAAGATTTTTTGTTTTCAAACTTGGAAAAGGTGATAAAAATAATTAATAAAGTTATACAAATTTGAAGAGTTTAGCGCATGCTCAACTTCATTTTTTTTTTTGCAAAAAGTTGCGACTACTGTAAAAGCTTGCAGTAAGATACGAATATACTAACAAACGTCCCCTTTGGTATCTACTAAAGAATTGCCACACCTATAAATAAAGGCAGTAAAAAGCATACACTAGAGCTTTGTATTTAAAATTCGAATGTTGCTCTACAGGATATTCGATAGCTGAGGTATTCGGTATCTATAGCTGGGTATATTTCTGAGCAATTTCAAATCTCGCAAGATGTTTGCAAGGAATCAAGCGTGGCAGCGTGTTAAAGCCTTTTCAATCCTGATTCCGATTCTTAAAAAGTTAATTAAAAAACTGCTCATTATCTGAATAATCATGCTTTTCAGACCGAGTTTCTGATATTCAGAGTATAGAATATTTACTCCCTCAATGGCACAAATTGTACTATAATTTGAATTTTTTGAAATTGAAGCTCAAGCTCTATTTCTGCTAGTGAAAAAGTCTGAGAAGATTTGAAAAAAATTGAATTTTTTGACTTTGAAACAATTCAGGAAAAGTTTTGAAATTTCTCAAAAAGTGGTTTAGTGTTGTGCAATTTTTCGATAAAAACTTAGCGTAACAATTTTTTTGATGAAAGTTGTTTGTTTTTTATGGGAAGAAAATCATGGTCGTATGATTATGTTTATTTTGCACGGCAACCGAGTAATTTAGTTAATATCTTTTGTTTTGTTTTGTTTTGCTACTGCACTTGTTTTCATGGTCAAAAGGCGACATATTGAATTTTTAAAAGCTCTTTTTTATGCAAAACCAAAATACCAAAGTTTGAAAATTATGATTGAACGTGTCTAAGTTCTGTGAGGTTTTTTTTGATATTTTCAGTTAAATTTAAATTATATTAAATTCATTTGATTAATTGTTTTATCATTCTTGTGGCTCTTGACTCATCTGCGTTTGTGTATATACTTCCTGGCAATCACCTAGCTGAACTACATTATACCTGTATTTCGTTTAACGACTACCAGTAAAATTTTCAAAATTTCATCTAACTGTGAACTGAGTTATTAAGAAAGTTTTTTTATTTAGGTGAGAAAATTTGAACACTTCGTTTAAATGTAGCTTGCCTTTAAATCTTTATTTCAGATCTATTATTTTACACTAGCAGTCAACGATGTGTGATACTACAAACCTTCTTTTTTTCTAAACATTAAAAGTGTTCACTCATTTAGAAAGTTCACTGTCGCATTGGAAACTGCGTAGCATCTGTCCTCTGCTTCATGTTAGTAGTGCTTGATACTTTATAGGCGTTTGGGTTTAGCGTCTAAGACTCAGATTTTCTAGGTCGCAGGTTCGAACTCGAAACGTAGCCGAATTTTTTTAAATTCCAGGCTTATTTACAATTATTCTTATTGCACTTAAATAGCTGCTTTTTGGTCGTGTTTTTGCTAGTATTTGCAAAGCAAAGCTTCGCTTCTGTGTTTTATGATGCGTTTGAAAAAACGGTTCTTTTTTAGATCAAACTTATCTGTTTTTAGGATGAAATTACTAATAACCATATTGAAAAGTAATTGCCAGAGAGAAATTTCCGCAAAACTTTCGATTGTTTATCCTAAACCCACGATATTGTAAACATTTTTTTGCTTTTTTGTTTTCTAGTTCAATTTTGAATTGAAAAAAGTAGGTGTTTTTTGTACTTGTTTTTGTGAAAAATGGTTTTTTTTGAGGTTTAGCTTTTTGTTTTAAGCAATTTGCCATTTCATCAAAACGGCCTAATTTTTAGCTTGCAAGCCGAATATCATTGATTAAGTTATGAGTACAGTGTCATCGGTGTACAAGATTGCCCTTGTGTCGTCGTCCATCGCTGATAAAAAAGAGATCCAAACATTTTTTTATTTCTGGATAGATTTTTTTAGAGTTTTACGGTTGACTTGTTATTTCTTTTTCATTTAAACCTTTTTATTCCAACTTTTTTCATTGAATTTTTCATCTCAAGCCAGGGACGGTTCGAGGAGGCGGATTTTCAAAAATTTTCAAAAATATTTTCGATCCTTTTTTTAGGTCGTCTAAATTGATTTTTCGAGCTCTTTCAATGCGCCGCAGGCAAAACTTTGAAAAAAAAAACAGGCCAAAAAAGGCGTTTGGGGTCTGTCAGCCAAAAATGGCTATCTCAAAATAGTACAAAGGGTCGGCAGGGGGTCGAATCCCTGAAAAGAAGGGCGTGTCCAACCTCACACCCCCGCCCCCTCCCCCCATAAATCTGCCTCTGTCTCAAACTATAGATTAGTTTTTTTTGCATAATTGAAAATCATTTGAATATACGATTGAAGCCCCGATTAGCAAAATTCAATTTATTTAGAGTTTTGTTCAAGCGATCATGAACGACCAGTTTTTCTCATAAATGCTCAAATAGACATTTTGTCATTTTTAATTTTGCTATATCATTTTTAATTTTGCTATATCTCCTCTGTCATTTTTAATTTTGCTATATCTCCTCTCAAGGACGTTACAACTGAAAAATAGGTACAATTGGAGCCAAATCAAGCTTTGTTCTCTAAATTATAAGCAATGACACTTTATTTCAATGTTTCGCAGTTTCAAAAAAGTGTTCTTTTTTGTAATCAATTATAATTTTTCGTCATTTCAAAAATCAATTAGCAAAAGAGAACAAAAAGCCTTGCTTGTTGTGTTAACTGTTTCTTTCTTTCAGTACAACATCAAGAAGAAGGACGACCCCGCCCTAGCTCCCCCTGCACCGGGTAGGGTGGGGAGGGGTCAGTTCTCGCCTATGCCAGTGAAGGACGAGGACGATGTGGATTTGACGATGGAGAATCTGAATGCGGAGAACGTGGGCAAGAAGGCCAACTTCCTGTTCAAAACTGCCAAAACTTCAGTCATGGGCATGTTCGGAGGGGGCGAGTGAAGTGAAGTGAAGTGGAGCTGAAGCGAAGAAGGAGTGAACAAACTATACTACAGAATCATGATGGGGGGCTGTAGGTGGTATTTCAGTCTCTGGGAAATTCCGAATTCTTAAAAATTACGCATTCACTAGTCTACGAAAGTAAAATGAAGCCATTAAGCTAGAAGAACAAGTGTTTAGCTTAAATTCCATTTAAAATGGAGAAAAAATTACTCGAAATTTCGAAATTATTAAGCTCATTTAAATATAATCAGTCAAAATTTAAGATCTTTGTTGGAATTTGCCGAAGACTGAATCACAGTCTAAAAACGGGAGACTGAAAAGATGTGAAGAAAACTTAAAATCAAAATTACCAAAAATTTCACTTGAAGCTGTATATCTCGCAGTTGTAATGCAAATTCTAAATAAACTCTTAACCTGTAGCCGCACAAACCGAACTGTATATTTTATATTTTTCCGGTATATTTTGACAATTGACCTGAAAGTGCTAAAATTGCGAATTCGGTATCATTTTTAGATATTTAGTTTACTTGATGTTGGAATTGCTGCTGAAAAAAAATTAAAAATAAGTTTCACAACAGCATTTCCATATTGTAGTTTGTTTCAAATTGTATGTTTGCTTTGGATGATTTCTGCATATTCGATATGAGTTTACTAGTCTGAAAAAGGTTTTGCCACTGGAGAAGAAAGCTTTCAAAGAGCTTTACTGGCGGGGTACGCCACGAAAGGTGGCAGGGCGCCCCGCAAAAACAGTACTCACTCACAGCAGACAGAGGAAGTAAAAACGTCTATAGGCCAATTCAGAATTGGCTAGAAAGAGTTAAACGAAGGGGATAACGTCTAAAGAGCAGTTGAACTGTCGTTCAGTTTTAAAGACAAAATGAGACAACCCGGGTTGACAAAAAATGCTTATCATACATTTTTCATATTTGAAAAAATGCTTATCATACTCTTTCACACAATTTCATAGAGCAAAAGTATATGTATGAAAATAGCAAAATAAGTATTTTTTCCATATATGAACTTGTATGATAAAATTTTTTTCCATACTATGAAATTGTATGATAAGCATTTGTTCCATAAATGAAAATATAAAAAATTTTTGTTTCGAAATTTCGTGTTTCAACCGAAACACTAACCAAGGATTTTTGTCTAAGAAATATCAATATCAACCGATTCTAAATCGTTATATAGAAATAGTTCTAACCATTTTCATCCACTTTTTTTTATACTCATTTTATACAGATTTGTACAGATTATTTTCAAATTTTCTCGACTATCATCATTGAGAACACAAAATTTTCATACTCGTCCAACTCTTCTCGCAAGACGCTAGACGGTCTTGTAATGATATAATGAAGTATTGAGATAAAATATGCCTTTTTTTGGGTTGATGTTCGGCCTGAAAAAACTATGAGTATAACTAATAAGTAAACTCTTTGCACCAAAAATGTCTTGTTTTAAGCATGTTACTTGCGTAAGAAACTAATTAAACTGCGGCTAGAACGTTGATAATGAAATCTCATTTGAGAAAAAAAGCATACTTTTTTTATTCAATACTGAGGGAATCCTTAGGTTTGCGAAATTTGTAAAAGATTCTCTGAATTTCCTACAACTCTAGGAAACCTTGCTCTCTGTTATTTGCCCTGACGAAAATTTTTCTATAGTAGGAAATTCTGCTCAAGCTTCGAAACTTTAAAGAATAGTTATATTTAATCAAATTTGTTAAAATTTTCATGGAATTCACAACCTTAAAAAATCTATTTGAATCGATATAAATTAATTTATTTAGGCAAAATTACCGTAAAAATCCGTTGAAAGTGATTCGAAATCGAATTACGTATCTAAATGGGATACTTAAAATCAATTTTCAATCAATGCAGTATTTGATCTGTATCAAATTTGGTTTGAATTGATTCCATTTCAAGTTTGTCAGTGCGAGTGGTGTAATTAGTTGATTACACAGGTAAAAATCTCATGTCTATTTGCTTTGTGAACGTCTAATTGTGAAAAAACCTCCTGGTTGATGACTGATCTAAATGACTTACTTTTTGAATTGATGCAGAAATCTTTAGTGAGGTTGCTTTTCGGGACAATAATGCTCAAAGAAAAAAGCTCAAGCATAGCAGGCTACAGCTTTAGACAAACGATTAATCTCTAGCACTGCTTATAACATAAAATATGAAATAATTTCAACTAATATTTTCCATTTTTTATCCAAATGTCTATTAATATCTTTTTTTTTTGTATTGCGTTGGATTATTTTCATCTCATCTTTCGATACAATTCGGTAGAGAAAGCGCAAACTGGAAATCAGTGAGTTCAAAGGTCACTATTTTTTCCTTAATGGACTATTAGAAGTAAATTTCGTTTCCTTTGGTTCACGCTACTAGTCAAATTGCAGAAAAGCCAATATTTAAGGTGCTGAATTTATGCAGACTTAATTTCAAACTTATTTTTCAGGATGTCAGTGAGTGCAGAAGAAAAATGCTTCCACACTCTCCCATTATAATTCTTCATACTTCGAAAGTCTACAGGAAAAAACTTATGGCCAACAAGGCAGTGAAGTCTAAACTTTTCGATTTAAAAGCTCAAAACGAGAGGGGAGGAAGCAGACGAGGTAGCGTTTGAGCGAAAATCATTTATTTTTGGCTGAACGCTTAAAAAATTGCCTTAATCTAAAAGAGATCCGACAAAAAATTACGAGAAAATTGAACTATTAGTTTTTGCTTGTAGACTTCATTAAATTCTTAAAATTTTAGTTTTAGTTTTTATGATTCCTACTTTTTCATTAATACGAGTTTGTTTTTTTTTGCATAGTTCAAATCAGCAAGTTTGCTTAGTTCAAATTATGCAAAAACAAAAAGTAAAATAATCTGACTGAAAAAAATATATATATTGTATTAGAAGCAAAACACAAGCTATCTAATTCACAAAATTCATAAAAACCAGTGCTACATGTCATCACTTTAAATTCTATGATGTTTATATTTCCATCACTGAATGTGAATTTTTAGCAAGCTGTTCAAAAACAAAAGGTGAAGTGTGCTGAAAAATAACATGACTAAAATAATATTAGAAAAAAACATAACCTTTACATGTAGATTCAGTACGAATAACAAAATTGTATGAGAAATCAAATAACTTACAGAGAAATTTTTTCCTCCCCGTCCTTTTCCTCCACAGTAAAATGACTCCAATCGGGAAAATTAGGTGGAAAAAATGAAAAGTAGAAATCACTGACTTCTATGTCCATTATTTCTATTATTGCACATTAATGGACTTTTACCAACAAACGTCATTCTTTTTTCCTCACCCCTTCTACTCAAATTGCAAAATGGCAAATTTCAACTTGCTGAACTTATGTCTGCTTACTTTCGTACTCATTTTGCAGGTGTCAGTGAGTGAAGAATAAAAATGCATCAGCATTCTCAAATATAATTGTTGACGAACGTTTATTAGACATTTAAATAGCCAAGAAAGACTTGAATTTCATTTTTTTTTGTTTTACAACATTGTAAAGTGAGAAGGGAGAAAGAATAATGAGATAAACTTAAGCGAAAAACACTTTCAACAAATCCTCGATTTGAAAGAGATTCGACAAAAAAGCATGCAAACTAATCGATCGTACATTATGTGTTAGTGGCATTTGATAGCTTTTTTAAATCTTCATTTTAAATTTTACAACGTTTACACTTTCACATCAAAAGTGAATATCCTTGCAAAAAGAAAAAATTGCTCTCTTCAAATTGTTCAAAAACAATAAGGATGGTGCTCTGGCTAAAAATAAATTATTTTTTTTTACACAGACAAAACCTAAGCTGTTAATTTTTCGAAATTCAGAAGCACAAATGCTAGATGTAGCCTAAAAAACGAAAGGGAAAAATGCTTGAGAAATCAAAACAAAGAGCGTTTTTTCTTTTTCCCCACCTGACTTAAGCATCAGTTTCACGATTTGACGAGGGGTTTTACAATTTTAAAAAAGAAAACCAATTATACTTTTATTGGGTAATTGGTTCGCATACAAAGTTTTGTAACAATCGGAAAAAATTAGGGAGTGGGAAAAAAGAACAAGACTGCTCGTAGTAGGGTGAAGCCCTAAGTTTTTCGACTGCTTTTTAAACTGTATGAAATATAAATTTTTTGGAGACTTCTTGTAACCTATCATCCGCACGCTAAGTAAATTACGACGTGATAGATTTTGCAGAGAGCGAATTATCACAAAGACCAAATAGCATGCCTCAATGCAATAAGGAACAATTTCTAAGACAGATTAGGTCTCCGCTTACGCGTTATTAGCACGAAATTTTGAGCATTATTTAACCCAAACTGACCAAATGAGCAAAATTTAAATTTCCGAATCTTCACAAAAAAATAATAACGACTGAAATGTCTTATTTTCTGAAATGTCTTATTTTCTGAAATGTCTTAAATTTGAGCTCTGGACAAAAATAACTTTCGGATGATAAAAAAAATTAAGTCAAAAACTGCTGGCTAAAAAGTTGGAAATTGTCAGGTTAAAACAATCACATGTGCACAAGTATTCCGTCACTTTCTTCAAAACTCGGAAAAAGAAAACTTTTCTAGTATACTTCATTGAACATTCGAATTACTCAAAAAAATTTAACACATTTTCACAGGGTTTGTATGAATAGGGAAAACCGTTGACTTCAAAGCAACTATTTAAAACAAAAGCTGAGTACAAGAAACAGTTCAAGATGTTGATCTTTTATTAGGAACAGAGAGCAAAAAGAAAGAAGTGAATCAACTGGTGATTGTGCGTCGGAGTATAAATCGGGAAACGTTTCGGAGGAACAACTATCAGTACAAAGCATATACAATTTATGACACAGTGGTCCTTACAAAGTTCCTTGAGAATAAAACACCTATGGCTCTGAAATCCTTTAATTATCATGATTTAGCAATTTTATGTTTAGTTATATTGTAAAACCTCCTCCCTCGCCATTTAAAGTTAGAAGTTTAAAAAAACCTCTAATTTACAGTTTTGAAGACAAGTAAATCAGCAGAGTTTTGCTTCCCAAACAGTAAAATAGGTTGAAGCGAGCATATTTCTTGATATAAACAATATAGCTAACTCGATTTTTAATCTGAAAAGTTTGTGTCTCAACTTTTTTCGCGAGATTTTTGAAATGAATAATTTATACATAAATAAGATTTCAAATTACTACACCTGTTTATCACAGTTGCTTTTCGAGGGACCATTCTATCATAGTAGTACCTTAAAGTATTACGATCACATACAAAAAAAGTGTTTTCATCATACGATTGAGTTTGAATCTCTTCTGCTATCATAAGCAAACTATTATTTTCTATTACTCTGGTTTTGTCGATTTATAAACCAATTGTTTCCAAATCGGATTATGGTGGGGAAGACCTGGGACATGCATAAACGTACGTTGTAACACGTTTATGAAGGGAGTAGCGTAAGCTATCATCAATTAACACGTTTGCATACTATTCTGTAGGCCATTTTTTGCATGCAATCATGCAATCGGTCTCATCATGGGGGTTTAAAAATTTGGACGACAAGCAAATTAGACGATCAGAAAAAATTTAAAACATCTTTTGGCTGAGAAGATAATGGTTGTTCAAACCGAATTCAGTTTAATAGTTTGACAGCTGTATTACTTATGCAATTCAAAATTGTA